GACTATAATTACCATGAAGACAGGGCCAATGCCTATTTTATTCACTGTCATATAAACGACAAATTGAAACATTTAAATATTAATGCATTTTGATGATTGCATGAGCTAGATACCAACTTAACTTCGTAGAAGGATATGATAAAATAACTAATAATAAAAATCATCTATTTTCTCACATAAATTTTATATTATTTACAGTGAGGGGCCATAAAATTATTCTCAATAATATCTTAAAGACAGAATATCAAATTTTAAAAGGGGGAAAATTGTCACGTGCTACCACATGGAAGAATCTTAAAGACATTATGTCAAATAAAATAATCCAGTCATGAAAAGCAAAATAATATATATTTGTCTTATATAGGTACCTAGGTGTTTTCCACAAGCCAAGAAGGGAATGGGAATTATTGTTTAATGGGTACTGAGTTTCAATGTGGGAAGATGAGAATGTTCTAGAAATGAATGGTGGTAATGGTTGTACAACAGTGAGAATATACTTAATGCTACTGAACTGTACACTTAAAATGGCTAAGATAGCACATTTTATGTTATATCTACTTTATCATAATAAAAAATATTGCATAAATAAAAAGTAACTATAGGTCTACTTTAATTACTTGTTTCTCTTTATGTGGGTTTTAATAGTTTGGGTCTTTCATGGAATTGGTCCAATTGATATATGTTATCAGATTTGTAGACAAATCATTGTTTATAATATTCTATTATTATCCTTTTAATATCCATGAGGTAAAATATGATCTCTCTTTTATTTTTCATATTAAACATTTGTGTCTTCTCTTTTTTTTACCTGTTTATCTTGGCCAGATATTTAATAATTTTATTGATCTTTTCAAATAACCAATTTTTGTTTTATTGATTTTCTCTGTTGATTTTCTATTTCCAAGTGTATTGGTTTGTCATGGATTTGATTCTATTTCTTTTCTTAGGATCAATTTAGTTCTATATTGCTGTTGTTTCATGTTTTAAAGTTTAAGGTTACATCACTGATTTTATATTTTTCACTGCTTCTGATGTTTACATTCATCCTGTAAATTTCTCTCTAAGCATTACTCTTGCTGAATCCTACAAATTTTCGTAAGATGTATTTTCATTTTCCATAATGCACTAAATTTGGAAAAAAAAAGATAATCTTTTTCTATGCAATACAGGTTAATTTACTTCAGTTATGTTAAATCATTGACAATTCTTACCAATCTGGGGTCAGTAAGAAACGTGAGCATTTGAGAAGTTCATAGCCCAATTGAGCTGGTACTAGAAGCTCTTTCTCTTTCTTTTAGGTTTCTTGTACAACAGATTCTCTGCCTCCAAAGATGAACAACTTTTTACTTAATTGTTTAAGGAGATCTGGACTTTAAGTGGACTTTGGTTTTAGTGGACAAGTCAAGATGTACTCAATTTAATAATAATTCATTGAGTACATAGCTCTTAAGGGGTGCGAATTTTCTCACTTGGCGGCTCGGCTCTGCAGTTTGATTTGTGGGTAAAAATAAGAAAGATGTTTTGATAAAGACAATCTCAATCTCCTCCAAGTTTTTGAAGACTCACTGTGTCTCAGGCATTGCATTTGACACTCTGAAGACTGTAGTGCTGAGAGAAATAATTCCTACTCAGGAAATTCACATTAGAGTAATGGATTCATTTAACAGATAACTACATACCATGAGATGGAAGTCAAAAAAGTTCCACAGGAGGTAAAAAAATAAGATAGTATAGAAATTCAGAGGAGAGACAATGAGTTCCTCTTAGGGATATTAGGAAAGTCTTCACACAGGGATAGTTACTTCTGCTGAGCTTTGAAAATCACTCAGAACCTGAATATGTAAAGTAAGGGAAAGGCATTTCTACCTCTGAAAAAAACATGGTCTTAGAAAAGCGTGACAAATGTGCAGGAAACAATGAACGGGCCAGGTTGGTTAAAGGAAGAAGAGAAGGAATACGACTGGAAATGTAGCTTGGAACTCTGTTTTTCATGAAACTAAAACATAACAAAGGTGAGAGTAGGTAAACTCTATGCCATGAGCATTAGGGAATTGTACAGGACTAGACATCAAAGCTATGATGAGCATCAAGTTGTGCTGTAGCAATCTGTGAGCAAGAGTATTGGAGAGACATGATAGGAAGGTTTCTCCAAAGTTATGATGATGATATAAGTGGGAAGGTTGGAGGTGGTTTCAACAAGACTTGACAACACATTGGATGAGGGCAGTAAGGAAAATTCAAATGTGACTGAAAACATCTTGAACTGGTTGATTGAAAGGATAGCTGTTCATTAAAAGAATGAGAAAGACAAAAAATCAGCTTTTGGAAAGAAAAATCATATATGTAGCTCTGGAGATATTAAGTAGGGATAATAATAGAACACAAAATGTGGAATCATGAGAGGGAAATGTGGGAGAGAATCAGGGCTGGAGATACAGCCCTGTGGTCTTGGTAGTTATCTGAAAGCCCACAATTTAATGGATAAATGGATAATGGAGAAATTATAGAGAGATTTAAAAAGATGATTAAAGATAAACATTGGGTAAATACCTACACTTACTCGTTCAGTTAAAAAAAAAAGAAGAATAAAGAGAGACAAAAAAGGAGTGTTGACTGGGGCAGCAAGAATCTTGTATCATGCCAATAGAGAAGAGACTTGCAAGGAGAAAGCGGCTGTGAATCTCAAATATACACATTCAAATGATGTAGTGGTTGAAAGAGACAGGAATTAAGAAAAGTCTGCTGTGACTCACTTTCTGAAGTGAAATATAGAGGCAAAGCAACACATTGGGAAGAGTGTAGATATTGGAATCAGAGGAACTGGAGTCAGTTCCGATCCTGTGTGGTTGAACTATGTGATTGAGAGGAAATTATGGCACTGAATCTCTCTGAGGCTCAGTTGGCTGACTGTAAAATGGAATTACCACCAGACTTCAAGGCTGTGTTGAGAATAAATTTGAAACATCACCATGTTACCTCCATGTATACCTTTATTTCATCTTCTGCAAAGCTGAGCCACCCTGCATAGTAGGCTTTCACTTTGCAGGCTTCCCTTAGCTTCTCAGGCTGAGCGAATTATCAGTCATATATTTACATAAATGCTATTTTTAAACTTTACTTTCAGGGTTTCAGTTTTGAGGGTTTTTGTTTGTTTGTTTGTTTGTTGTTTGTTTTTACTTTTCACTTAAGTCAAGCTCAGTGAAAAAGACCACAATTACCTGATTTATTTATCAACTCATTTATTTATTTACTTTTTTCCATTTTTGATAACCCGTGCGATGGACAGTCATCAACCTTAGAAAGTGCCAGAGTGCATGCTGATTGAGTGCATGTTAGAGGCATGGCAGTGACATTTTTCTTGCAAATTAGTAGTATCCCATTGGTGTCTGATGTTTTTCCCAACATATTCTTTAAAAGAAGGTTAGACATTTCTGGTACCCTGGCTTTCTTTCAGGACCCCAATTTTCTCCAGGGGAGCAACATATGCTGGATTTAAAAACTGCTCTCCCAGACCTTCTCTGGCTGTTGGGAGGCACTTGTTGCTCAGCCTGCGAAGCAGGGACATGGTATGGCCAAGGGAAAATCTCTTTTATTTATTTTAAAAAAATAGTTTTCCAAGAAACCCTTTCCAGGAGACGTCTACTTACCTCCTTACCTCTCAGTGATCAAAAACCTTCTTTTCACCACAGTCACTTACTACCAACCCTCATTCTCCCAAGTGTCCTTCACTACACTTACACTTCTGCATTTTTCATCACCGTATTTCTCATGCCATAACTTGGACTTCTCCACCAGTCTGCTCACTTTCATGCTCCCAATACTCACATCCATCAATTACATTCATCCATGAAATAGATGGGTGAAATTCAAGAAAATCCTATTACTCCTTAAAAAAAATTATTATAATAATTAATTGCAAACCCTTAAGCATTGGTAACTCATCCTCCTTGTGCAGAGCTGAATGGAGGGGAAGCAGCTGGAGCAAGGTTCACTCTTGAGGGTCTTGCCAGAACGAATGGTTAACAGAGAATGATGTCAACAGCTTCAGAGAGGCTAATCAGTGTGACTGATGAATGTATCTGTCCCTGAGAGAGGAGCAGGCACCACTTTGACCATCATGCTTGATTTTGTATCCCTTAGTGCCTAGCAAAATGCTCTGTTTATAATAGATACTCAGTAGCTCTTTGCTAGGCAAATAGTTGATTCAGAGAGACCCTGCTGTAAGACAATGCACATATCAGGAAAAGGAAGAAAGGGTTGAGTGGAAGCTTAAATGGAAGAAATTGAAATGGAATTTCATGCAATCTAATGGTGTGTTGGTGGCAAGCAACTACACAAATACAATGTTTCATATATACCAAAAGATAAACATCTTAAAAACCAGGAACCATTGTCAGGAACCAAACTAAAAAAAGGAGCCAAATGGGAATCCAAGCCGACGTTAACTTTTGTGCAATGATAGAGAGACACTATGACTTCCACTTTTATCTCTTATTATTAGTAAGAAGAGATTTACACTGATAAAGTAATATAGTGCCTAATGCCATTCGTATGAAAGTTAACCTTCTGTTTTATTAGTAAGCAACAGGAGAATAATCAATCAATACTGGCAGCAGTGGTAATGTGACTAGCCTTATAAATTGGTCTGGACAGCCTGGTGTGTGCAATGAAGAATAGCACTAAAACTCCATACTGATAAAAATGCAAATGAAGAAGTATTTTCTATCAAGAAAGGGTGGTATAATTCTATTTTGAATTATTGCAAGATTTCTTTCTCAAGTCTATCTACTATGCTACATTCAAATTTATTATGTTAAGCTAGAACTCTGTTGTAAGTTCTTTTAAACAATTGCATGCCAAATTGATTACGCATAAAGAAAAAATGTGTTGGGTAGGAAATAAGATCCTACGGTTTATACATTTCTTTCTTAAAACCCTCTGCTTCAGCTGGTTATTTACCCATCCTCTTCTCTCGCTCCCTCCCTGTGGTTGCTTCACAGGCCACGGCACATGTTCCTGTGGTCGCTGCGTTTGTGAGAGAGGATGGTTTGGGAAGCTCTGCCAACATCCGCGGAAGTGTAACATGACGGAAGAACAAAGCAAGAATCTGTGTGAATCAGCAGATGGCATATTGTGCTCAGCGAAGGGTGAGTGTCTCTGCTGGAGCCTGGACTCGATTCCTGTTCTGACACATGATTGGTAGAACAGCATGTAGCAACTGTCTTTCCCAGACTGAACTTTGCATGAAAGCAAACCACTAGGTCCTCTGCTGTACCCAACTTGAAGCTTGCAGATTAACCAATTGAAGTTTTAAATCTAAGAAATGAAATGCATGCAAGAAGAGTCATGCAAAAATATCCCTGTAAGTGAAGTTATTGCTGAAATGTATAGAATTAATACTTATATAAAGAAATTAGGACAACAAAATATACAGGGTACTAAATGGACCCACAAAAGGGGAAAGAAGGCCACAGAATGATTGTTGAGCTTACCTCTAAAACAACACAGCTCAGAACTGTGGAAAAGTAATCATAAGCGTTTGAGCTACCAAGGCATAGGACCCTGGGAAGTTCTGGGGCGAAATTATTTAGCTGCGTATGGAGCAGGGAGGGATTGAAGGTGTGAGAAGACATAAAAGGAGACAAAATATTTAGTTTAATTGAGCTTAATGTTTTAAAAATGAAAGAAAAGCTATGGGGGTGGGTAGTATCTCACAAATCTGATGTAATTTTCTTTGACCGAAAAGTCACCAATTGTTCCAAGTCAACACGTTCAGCCTGATATAAGCACATAGGTCATTGTTCAGCTGGGCACAGTGGCTCATGCCTGTAATTCTAGCACTTTGGGAGGCCAAGACGGGTGGATCACTTGAGGCCAGGAGTTCTAGACCAGCCTGGCCAACATGGTGAAAACCAAAATCTACTCTACTAAAAAAATACAAAAACTAGCCAGGCACTGTGGCTCACATCTGTAATTACAGTTACTTGGGAGGCTGAGGCAGAGGAAGAGCTTGAACATAGGAGAAGGAGGTTGCAATAAACCGAGATCACACCAGTGCACTCCAGCCTGGCTGACAGAGCAAGACTCCAACTCCAAAGAAAAAAAAAGGAATAAAAAAGAAAGCCTGCCAAATGGTTATAACCTACAAGTTGGTTGAGTAGAAGCCACCAACCCAATAAAACATTTGCCACGGAAACACATTCAAGGAAAAAGAAAGCCTTCCCCATCTCCCATCCTACACACACATACCCCCCTCACACACACATACACACACACACACACACACACACACACACACACAGAGAGAGAGAGAGAGAGAGAGAGAGAGAAATTGGAACAGATTTTCCCTAAGTAAAGAACACTAACAGATTAAATTTTGAAAACCTTAATTTTGATGTTTCTGTAAACTATTCCTGAAGGGACTTTAAAATCCTGCCATTGTAGTGCATATGGCATCTTCTAGAAAGCAGCTGTGTTCTTTTTTGCTAGTGACTAGGAAGACACAGGGAGCCTGAAAGATTCTCACCTCATGTCTGGGTAGCAGTCCTTCAAAGAAGCAGAAGTTATGGAGCTTCCCAGCTCTCCTCTTCAGCTCAGTATCCTCCTTATACAACAGACACAACTTCTTTTTCAGACAAGGCACAGCCCTACCCTCAAACACCTGTGCTGGTCAAGATGACCATGCAAACAACTTTCTGAAGAAGACAGTGAATCATAAGTGTGCTAGAGACTCTGAATCCTATTGTCAAAGAACCACACCAGTGAGGCTACCACACACGCAGGAAGGAAGGAGGTCCCTGAAGCAAGATGGGTCATGTGTCCTCTAAACAGTAGCTTTTGTTTTGCCTCATCTGCAAGACTAATGCTATGAAAGAGACTTTTTGGCAGAACTTCAGACATAAAAGAGGATAGATGCTTTGACTATTTGTGGTGCCAAGAAGGGAGATGAAAATGGATGTGAACATGTTCACATCAATAGATAGCAGTGTCCTTGGTTTCCGGTAATTCTGTGTTCAAAACTTGTGTTTACAGTGCTCAGGCAAGGAGGCCATGTCTTCAACCTAATGCCATGACAGCAGGCAGGTGGAAAATGAGCTTAAAGCAATTGCTTTGTGACTTGTTTGTTCTCGCATTAATTTAATCTAATTTCAAGCCCCAAACAAATATTCTACCAGTTCTGTTCTCAAAGGGCCTCACTTTCTAGAAACACCTACCTTGAATTCAAGCTGTGTTGACAGAACCTAAAAGAAAGTTTAAAAGGAAGAGAACAAGGGAAAGAACTGGGGAGAAAGGGGTTAATGAAGAAAAGCAGGAAAGGAGGCAGGGATGGAATGAAACTGCGAGAGAGAGAAGTGAGAGGCAGGGATGGAATGAAACTGCAAGAGAGAAGTGAGAGGGAAGAAAAGAGATGTTATCAGATCACAGGAGAATCATCTGTATATAAAAAGATACTGAGAGTGAATAGTTTTTAAATTAGATTTTTTTTTTCTCTTAGCATTGCTTCAGACACAGAGCACTTAAGTTTAGATAGTGTTTTACTTGGTTTTCTGTAATGGCATTGTCACTGGGATAAGAATAGAAGCTTTTCACAGAAGCTCTACTGAATGAGGATACCCATGCATATTAAAGCACTAGCGTGCTTATTTATATGTGTTTATTTTAAAAGTCAGCTATTGTTTGTATTTCTGTGTTTACTACACTTGCCGTTGAATCATTAACCATGTCCGTAAGCAGGTCGTCCCTAAGACCTGTCCAACTGCAAGTTGAGGAAGAACACACAAACCATACTCTCCAGGGTAACGAATAGCAGTCTTCCATTTCCTAAACTGAATGTCATGCAACAAAAGCTGTTTCTTTTCAAGAAATAAACATCCTTATTGAAGTCATTACAGCCCTAGGAAAGATTCTCATCTTTTGGCATCATAAATGTAGAAAATACAAAGAAAAAAATAGGTTGACTACTGAGTCAGCATTTCCTCAAAACAAAACAAAACAAAGCCAGAGTCTCCCTAGCTAACACCTTTGCAAATTGTTTGCTTTGGGTGGTGGCAATATACTCAGAGATCAGTGAAGGGCTGAAAGCATATTTGTCTAAATTATTTGTTTATCCCTCAATGGGTAGAGAGTCTTGGAGTCTTTAAGCTTCAAAGGGAACAGGAAAGCTGCCCCGTGGCTGCACATGCTGACATTCATGTTAGTGGACGGGCGTTCACACTCCTGACAGCAGCTGACTGGGGGCTCCCTTCTTTTCTCCTATTATGGAGACATCAGTGCTGGATTAGGGATGAAGAAAGGGGACAAAACCAGTATCATGGAACCGTAATCTCTGGTAGGTACAGAGGTTAATGGGGATGCCACAGTTACTCTGGATTCCAGTGGGGAGCACTGCCCCACATCCCACCCCAGGAACCACAGGAAGAGTAATGCCTGCAATAGACTAAGGGACTTCAATATGGTGATGGAATAGAGAAACCTGTTTCCAGTTGTTTGACTGGGGTCATGTATCCTTGTTCAATCTCATGGACTTGTCCAAATTTCCTATCAGTTTCCTCAAATTTGACAAGGAAAGTCCCTCACCCTGATGGTCACAAAAGATATTCAGAATCCTCCTTTATTTGATTATGGGACAGACCTGAGCAGTGGGCATGAGGTGACCATTGGCACACTGCTTTGTGGCCCGTACCCACCAAAAGGCTGAAACATGCATTTCCCATGAGCTGTGAATAAAGCTGTCACCTCAGGAGACGATGAAGAAATAGTGTTTTATTTCTTTACAAATTTATAGTCAAGACAGTAAATCACTCCATAGAAAAATTTAAAACAAGATACATTGTTGTGACCTTCGTAACAGATGGAATAGTTAGTACAATAGGGAAAACTGCCTGCTGGGATGTCAGGTTGCAGCATTTCATCAGGCTTGAATGAAAAATAAAGTCCAGTGTTAGTAATGGAATGGGCAACTGACAAAGGTGCCTTGCCCTTAGACTGAAATCTTTTTTGTGAATAACCAAGAGAGATGAGGTTAGTGCCATGTTGGGTCTCCCCTAAGCTCAGCTACCTTTGCAAAGTACATGATATAGTTCACTTTGGGATGTGTTGTTCGTTTGGGGATTTATTTATTTGGATCCAAGACTATACAATTATATCTTTGCCTCAATTACTTCAAGCTAGATCCAGATAATCACATCCAGTCCTCTTATAGATGCTGTTATGTGACAATGGCTATAAACCACATGTCGTTAAATGTCTCCTTAAACTCTCATAGTGAAACTTCTCGGGTCCCACATTATCCAAGTAAGTCCAGCACACACACACATTCATTGACCCACGCCCCTGTTCCACATCCCCAGAAAAGACAAAGAGTAAAAGATGCTTCACAAAATCAGCCTCAGCCTGGTGTTCAAGTTGCCTCCCTCAATATGCCTGTGCAGTCAGACCTGCAGGAACACACGACTCATTTTTTAAACTACTGTATATGAGAGTTTTTGCTGGGAGATACATCACAGATAGATCACTAAAAAGAAGAGTGGATTGAATCAGAGTGAAGTCTTCAGTTAACTGGTGTTTATTGCCTGTGAGGTCCAGGGCAACTTCTTTATTCTCACTGACTTCCATTCTCATCTTCGAAGGTAACGTTTCATTTCTTTTCCCTTCTTATGTCCTAAGATGCTCTGAATCTTCATGAGAAAATGTGGCTGATTTCACAGGGATGGAAGCCAGCAAAAATGCACAGAAGGGATATGGGAACATTCTTAAGGGTCCTAATATTAAGAAAGAAAATGAATGGATTGGTGGTGTTATCGTGATGAACTTTCTGCCCTCGAACTCCTGCAAAGATCAGCTAGCTTTTCTCTGGCTGGGCTGGGTCTCGGGGGTGTGAATGGGTCTTGGCCAGCTGAGTTGAACCATTTCTCACCTCTTAGTAATCACGCAGCCTACATGGAATCCTCTCTCTGTTTGTTTCCATTTAAGAGAGGGACAGTTTGACCCCTGTTATGGAAGAAAACAGACAGCTAGAGCATTCTACAAGAAAAGTGCTATAACAGGTCCTAATAACTATTCACAGTGTGTTATTACTACATGCTATTAGTCCTAGTTTCACAAGCAGTAGAAGAATTTCCTACCTCTAAGATGCATTGAGCATTGATAAACAGGAAAGAATAACACAGCCGGGGAAATGCTGACCTAGAAAAGCTACTGTTTCGTGACACATACAAGATCAATCCTCATTTTTTATTCTAAGTATTTCAGTGACTAGTAGACTTTTGGAACTGGAATCTACTCATCAAATGCTCGATCTGTATATGCCATATTAACTTTAGCTGAGCTTACCAGGTTTCTGAAAATGCTTTACTATGGCATGAAGCTAAGCATTCCAGAAGCAAGAGCAGTGATTAGAATAGTTCCAGGGCCAGAGGATAAGTCTGAGATGAAAGATAAGATCTTTTTGTGAATTGTGACATACATAAAATGATATACTGGGTGTATATATGAATATTATAGACATAAAATCAGACACTACTTTAGAAACAGCTAAAAACAAATTCTTCAAATAATTAATATTCCTCTACGCATGGAAAGAAAATGCTAAGTATGGTGCCTTCTGAGGAAACTTCTCTGATGGTTAAATACTTCATGTGTTCTTTGTGCAGGTATCTATCACTATATGTTTGTAAAACAAGCAGTAGTGTTGAACATTTTTATGCCTAGAAATGTGTCTTTAAAATTAGAATTAAAACGTTTCTAAAATCAGGAAACTCTGCACCTGGATGAGACCACAAGAGGACCAGCATTTCTTGCAGACTGACGAGAGAAGCAGCATCCCGGGTCTTGAGACACCACTGGGCTGTCAGTCACTCAGAACTGAAAAGATGTGTCTGTTTTGCTCAAGAGCATGCAAATCAACCTGGATCCTCAGGAAAACAAGTCAAGACTAAATGGAATTATGCCGTAGCCATGCAAGAAGTTAAAAATAAATGAAAACACAACTGTCACAATAGAACTAATTTTGACTGCTCTCTTACCTTGAGAAGTGTGTCAAGAAATGGGAAACAATTAATTTGGCCTTTGGGGATTTTTGCAGCTGAATTGCATATACTGGTTTCCCTGATATGAAATATCACATAGCACTTCATGCTTGGGACACGTAAACCTGAATCCTTTCATGATATCTATGATGACCACAATTCTTTTTCCCTAATCACTTTAATCACCCCAGCTGTTAACTCATTTTTAATCATTGTGTTTTAAAAGAAGCCCTAATGATTGATTCTTGCCTCTTTTCAATATATTTTGAACTTACCAATTCTACAGTTTTGTTAAATATGCCAAAATACTTTTTTCAACTGCATATTTTTTCAAGGTGGGTTTTGACTTTAAAAATTAGCGATAGCCATCTTTTAGAAAAGGGAAGTCATGTTTGGAAAGAACAATCAACTCAAGGAAAAGGAAGTTCTTTTTGTTTCTTTTTCATTTTAAAGTCTTTCCTGCTCATTGAGGCAATTTTTCCATGTAAGAGTTTTTAGCCTGTCATGGAAAGCTGCTTATACTGAGAAAACTTACTTCCGTCTGGGATACCCGTTACTTAATTTATTTTCTTTGATTTTAAATATACCACGAATACAATTTTTACTCAGTAAATGAGGGTATTTTAAATAACCAAAGAGGAAGTTTTTAAATTAGGTAGGAGGAGAAATGGGTGAAGTGGAGGGGAAAAGAGTTGAATCCAGAGCCTCATAAAGGGTGTACTTTGGGAGTATTTGAGCTATCCTAGATTATGACAGAGAATCCTGAAGATGAGGTCTCGTAAGGCAGATATACTGAGTGATTGTGTGCATTTTTAGCACTTTAATTAGCCACCCAATATGCAGGTGTGCTATTCCAAGAAAATCATGTAAACAAAATCCAAAATTAGAAGCACAATAATTTAGTAATTATTTTAATTAGAAATGCATCCTAATTTAATACAATTCCCTATTCCATTCCTTTAAAGAACAGGCACTTTAAAAACATGATTCAATTTGGTGGGAGGTGGAATCTATTTTTGAATACCTTTTTGGAAGACCGTCTATAAGAATCAGCCCCATTCTGTTCTCATTGACATTTTAACCAGACTGGGCCATGGGACATTTGCTCAAGGCTAATTGCAACTGTCTAGATCCATAATGAAGGCTTTCCTGGATGACCTTTATGAATTACAGTAAGTAAAGCTCCCCTCTGAGAAACCAACCATTCAATACACTTTTACTTTTGGATGATAGGTTATTTGAAGCCTGTTGTCAGTGTGTCAACGATACTGTATTCAAGATGGAAACCTTTAGTTGTTTCATGATGGCAAGTAATAGCCTTTGTAATTTCAGGTTCTTGTCATTGCGGAAAGTGCATTTGTTCTGCTGAAGAATGGTATATTTCTGGGGAATTCTGTGACTGTGATGACAGAGACTGCGACAAACATGATGGTCTCATTTGTACAGGTCCAGTATTAACCTTTTCTAATTGCTCTATGCCACAGTTTGTTACAGAGCCAAGGGACACTCGTCATGCAATGCTTTAGGTAGCCGGACCAAGAGGGCCAACTGTGAATATGAAGTAACTACCAAGGGGGAAGTGGGCATTTGGGAATAAGCCCTCACATTATTCCTTGGCATAGGAGAACACAAGAGAATGAAGCTGAATTCTGTAATTATTTGGGATACTTCCCAAAAGTAACCTTCCTCCTCAAACTCACGTGTATGCAGTTACATATGAAATACAGAATAGAATTTTCTCAGCAACCATTTTACTTTGAACATGGTACAGGGAATGGAATTTTTGTTTAAACAGAATCTGGGTACCACTCATTGATGTGTTGGTTGCTTTTCGGGAACTGGATGTGTATGGGGGAAAGGTGTAAAGAGGGCTCAGCGCTGTCATAGCCACTAATTTATTGAGTTATCCTAATTTATTGAGTCCTCATAATTGGTTATAAATTCATTTGTTTAGCCAAGTTACAGAGGAAACGGAGTTGTGTATACTTGTCCTCCTCAGCTCTGGCAGAGTGTGTCATGAAGTTAGACCCTTGCTTCCCAACCATCCGTACTACATAAGACTGTCTTCTAGCTGATTACCTGGCCTGCCTTATGTTGTGTCAAAGAACTTTGTTTTTCAGTATTTATTCATAAGTCAGACATAACTTGCTCTCTAAGGGAAAACAAAATTGTCACCTAAAAGCCTAGCCGGAGTGATACAGGATTGTTACTGATCGGTAAATGGTGGCACCAAATAAATGCCACTCATTAAAAGTGAGATTAGACATCTCACAGCTGCTTAATAAGATATAATAATATTGTTGCACAATAAGAAATTCTACCAAGGATGAATGAAATGATTTCATTGTGGACACTTATGATTTATAATAGCATGTTTAAATTTGGCACATTTTATTATCATGATCATGATTCTCATATGTTTTATTGCAGGGAATGGAATATGTAGCTGTGGAAACTGTGAATGCTGGGATGGATGGAATGGAAATGCATGTGAAATCTGGCTTGGCTCAGAATATCCTTAACAATTACATGAGAGAGGTCTGGATTCTTATTTTACTAGGCCATTAGAACATATAAATGCAAAGGAAACCATGTATAATCACCACTAGGACAGGTTAAAAAGACCATTGTATGTTTTTCTATTTCTGAATTACGAATGAAATCTGAGTACCTATTAGAAATGAGTTTTGCAAACTCAGATGCAAATAACACTAGAAAAAAAATGTTTCTTCCACAATTAACATAAGTGGTTCCTAACGAGAGCAATTTTTCCACCCGAAAGACATTTGGCAACATCCACAGACAATTTTGATTGTCACATGGGGTGGGGTGTGAAGACATGCTGTGGGCATTTGGTGGGTGGAAGCCAGGGATGCTGCTCAGCATCCTCTGGTGCACAGGACAACCCCCAAGCAAGGAATGACCTGGCCCCAAATGTCAATAGCGCCCGCATTGAGATACACTGAATTGCATGGCTATTAGAAATCCACATTCTTACGCTAGTATTAGAATCTAAGGAAAACAAGCATATTCACATTAATCAATGGATCCAATTTTTCCAGAATTCCCTATCAGGCAACATTTTCACATGGGAACAATGAAGAGAAACACAGGAGGTAGAAAGTCAAACTGGGGCTGGATCAAGAGCAAAGACTAGTCATTAAGTTATTTGTCATTAAATCATTTAAACACTAAATGAGTAAGTACTTTGTCTACTCTCACTTTAAACTTTAAAAGAAGATTCTCAAATTATGAAAAATGTACAATGTAACATTTTAAATAAATAGTGACAGAAGTTGTTTATACTCTGTGTCAGCATATATTTACCTACTGATAATTAATTTAAAAATGAATTGTTATTCAGGGATGTCCATTTTAGGTTTTTAGAAATAAGGAATCACATTTTAAAAACTGGACAGGGGTTATGTGTACAAGAAACTGGATTTTTAAATTTTAATTTATTCCATGGTAATGTGGCCTTTTAAAAAGATGATACTCAGTTACATATATAATGGGACTGAAGTACGCATCCATTTCCCTTAAAGTACTTTCTTTTTTCTAAGGATACCTTTCTGGAAACCTGGGTTCATGTAAAGAATCAAGAAGAGAAATATTGTGATAAAATGGCACCAATCTCAGAGGCTCACAAAAGGACCAAAAAAAAAAATCTAGAAATGGCTTAAATAGAAATTACAAATATTCACTCAGTGATAGGAACAAAAATGTTTATTTTCTTAATGGTGAAACTTTGCTTTGTATGAAATTCACATTGAATTATGAAAATGTACAATAATTGGGACTTCCCTTATATATTTACAGGTAAATCTACTTATACACATTAGGCAACCTTTAGTTATTTAGAGCTAAAAAAAAAAAAAAAAAAAAAAAACCTTTTTTTTCTAAAGGTGAGTTATTTTGTAAAATCCTATAATAATGTAGCAAAATCATTTCTATATTATTTTAAGATGAAAATTTTTACTTGGAAATTTTATTTTAATGATGTGAGTATTCTAGAGTCATGGCTTGAACTTTATAAGTCACTTTACCAAAAATAAGGAAAATATGTATCCGCTGAGTTACTTAAAAATTTAATATTGAAAATTATTTTGAGAACATTTAACTGATGCTGATTTTTATAGTACTGATAATGTTCTCATAATGTAATACATTTATAAAATTGTTATCTCTATCCTGAGATTAAGGAGTGCAACCATGTTGTAAGTTCTATTATTAAGTAAATTGATATCTCTCTTTTGCAAAATGAGGGAAATATAAGTAGTCAATAAATAATGTAGGTTATATTCTTTCTTCACTACCTAAACATTTTAAGCTGCAAACAACCTATTATTGTTCTGTAGCAATTTTGATGACAGATTTGCTGATGCACAGACATTGGAATTCATTATGTTATCTAGCCATCCTAATACAAATGAGCTTTGGATTCTCCTATCACAGGGCTTATCCTCCTGTCAGGGACCAGAAAGTTAAACTTTACAGACCACGTACATCCCTGTCTCATATTCTTGTTTGTTTGTTTCTTTTTACTACTTTAAAGCTGTAAAAAAAAAAATAATTCCTTCTGAGTCCCCAGGCCATACAAAAACAGATTAAGGGTGGATTTGGCTGGCAGCTGAACAGTACTTTGTCAGCCTCAGCTCCACTGGAACTGCCCTTGATTCTCTATGGCTCATCACAAAACCTCAGGTGAGTCTTATTTTGTTTTTCTAACCCTCTGTTATTATCCTTTTTATTAAGAACAATAGCTATAGCAAAGTGCTGCTCTTTTTCATAGTCTTATGTAAGAACAGTGTCAAAAAAGTTCTCAGCATTTGTTTTCTCAGAAAAAGAATTTAGATATTAGAGAAATTGTACCATAAAGTTTAAAATGTTGGACAAAGATGAAAATATGGTCAGTTCTGTTCTATTGTTCATTTAGTTAGAAACCATAGTACTGGAAATGTATTATAGCAAAGTTACATGATACCTAAACTGTAAGGCAGGCGTCCCCAACCTACGGCCCTCGGGCCGCATGCGGCCCCCTGAGGCCATTTATCCGGCCCCCTGCCGCACTTCAGGAAGGGGCACCTCTTTCATTGGTGGTCAGTGAGAGGAGCACAGTATGTGGCGGCCCTCCAATGGTCTGAGGGACAGTGAACTGGCCCCCTGTGTAAAAAGTTTGGGGACGCCTGCTCTAAGGAACGCTTTTTCTTTGAAAACAGAAATATTTTGACTTATTTCTGTCAACTAATTTCTTTCTCTCTCTCTCTCTCTCTCTCTCTCTGTGTGTGTGTGTGTGTGTGTGTGTGTGTGTGTGTGTGTATGTGTGGTTTTGATGCCAGCAATGCAAACACCAATATATCTATTAAGAAGTGATTGAATCTAGATTGGAAAAAATAATTACATGTAAAGACATAAACTTTTTCCTTCTAAAATATGATTTTGTACTTTTCCAACTCTATGATAGACACTCCCTCTAAAAAGCAAGCAGGGCAAGAACAAACTTGTAACAGGTGGGAGAAAATAAGCAAATCTGATTGGCTCCTTCTGGTTTGAGGAAGTTGCAGTCAGATTAATGTCAACTGGAAGGGATGCAACAAGTTTACAGAAAGTATTGGCACTAACCCTGCTTGTTTGGCAAATCACCACTGAGAAATTCCACCCAGGGACTTTTCCAAAAAAAGTCAGCTAAGTGCAAAGACATAAGAGGAGAGACATTATACCCATTGCCTTTCCGGGCTCCTTGAGTTTATCTGGATTCCAGTAGCACTTTGGAAGGCATGTCCTCCACCACCTCAAATGCAAATATAATCTCTGCCAGTAGACATTGGAATTAGACTTAGTGAAAATCAAGAAAAAAACGAAACTAAAATATAACTCATCCTTAGTTTGCAGACTCAACTATCAACACTTTGAAACCCTACTCAATATTCAAGACAGTCAAGAGTTTCACATTGTAGGCTAAGAAACCTAAGCTATGACTTATATTTCACTCAAAGTAACACAGTGTACATCCTGGATTTTGACATGCCTGCAGTTTGGAAAATAATTGAGGACTTAGCCAAATAGCTTTCTCTTGAGATAGCCTTGTTCTGAATTAAAATTGAAAATATTTTTCAATTATTTTCATCGTCTTTCTAAACTGGATGTTAGTCAATGTGGTCTCTTCTTGAATATGTATCAAACATTAATTATCTTTAAAAGGGAGATAATTTTAAATGAAGTGATAGATGTTTAACTTAAAAAATAAGAAGTTTTTGGTTTTTAAAGAGAACCAAATCTGATACTGTTCATCCTGATAAAAATAACTCTTTTGGCGCTTAAAGCATTAACTAAGCAAGTGGCCAGGTAAGATAAAGAACCTTTGCTTGCTCCCTAAGAGGCAAACTATTAGAACTGAAGCAGGAGTCCTTTGACCCCATTGTGGATCTCCTTAAGCCACCCCTACCCAAAACCACTCGGGACAAGCCCACATGTAGAGCAAGAATCTCCAAATTCTTCAGGATTTGTAATGAAATAATGCTCAGTTCCATTTTCCTCCTTACAGAGGGTGAAGAACTTGCATGTATTCTCTAATTTTTCCAAGTAAAGTGGTAGCAAAATGTTTTCAAAAGAAACCTTATTAGAAAACAAAAATGTTGTCACTTGAAATATCAAAACATTTCCGAGCATTGTTGAAGGACTGGCAAAGCAATCGGCTACTCTAACAAAAGTAGAAATGACCCTCCCACACCAGATATGCATGCAGAAGGAATGGAGTACTCTAGAGACTTGATACAATGGACATATGCACATGGAGGTACAAAACACACAGTCTTTAAATACAAATGAATTCCATCAGATTTACTATACGGAACATCAGTAGTGACAGATTGCACTTACTTAATAACAGCAAACTTAATTTCTGAGGGAAAAAAGTGGTGAAGTCTTATCCCAAACAAATAGCAAGAGAGGTATCAACAAAGAGCTAAAATTTTCTTTGGCATGGTAAAGGGGAAAATTGAGTTTACCAACTTATTTACATGACATTTCTATATATTGGTGGGTGATGCAATGCCATTTTGTTACATAAAGTTGTTTGATGTTGTTTAATATGCCTTCATATAGTTTATTCAATATGTTGTATTTGTGAATACAACAAATGATATTAAACACAAAAACTGTACAATGCAGACAAACTCTTTGTATGCAAATTAGCAATACATACCAACAGTTCTTGATACACAGGTACCTAGGACATGCAGTTCATCAGTGCTGCCCTCTTCCCATGCAACAGGTGAGACCAGACACAAAGTAAATGACCTAACTGAATTACAAATAACAAGGACCCCTCTGCAATATGTCTAAACATATATTAGAAGAAAGTATTTGACATCCTTCATAGGGATAAATGCCCTTATAGACACCCCGTATATAAAACACAACAGAGGTACACATTTACATAAATCTCAGTCATTTACAAAAATAAATCTTGTCTTAATTTAAAACAATAAACAGACTTGCAGGGGAAAAAGAAACCAGCATGTAGGGCTGATTATCAATAACAGATGGCGTCGTTTGCTGTGTGCGTGCGTGCGTGTGTGTGTGCGTGTGTGTGTGTGTGTGAGTGAGAGAGAGAGAGAGATGCTGTAAGTAGTGTCTATTAAGCCCATTTGATTGGATTACAAGTTAAAAAGTACCCATAGTTTGCCACATATTATGGGGTATATGTTTTCTGAAAATAATTGGTTAATAGAATTTATCTAATATATTTTAACTGATCCCGTTAAAAACAATAGCCTTCAAAATGACATAACACCCAATCAGACATGACCAAAGGACTAATTTTCTTCGTATTTGTAATTTAGCATCATTGACAATAAATCTACTCAAACGTTCTGCTAACTTTTTATTTATTCAAGTAGAATCCAATATGAAAATGAAATAAGCATAAACAGTTAAATTTATACTAAACCTTTAATCAGCTAAGCAGGCCAGAATTTTTTAATGCTGGGCAAGGGCTGTCATGAAGATTTATGAAAGCAGTGACAAAATAATTTCCCAATAAATACAGTGCAGATGGGGAAAATGACAACCGGGCCATCCTCCCAGAGAGAAAGAATAACAAGAGGCCAGTACATTGATCCCACATATAATTTTCAATAAATGAGGTTCAGTTTGGTCTCAATGAACTCTTCTGAGAAGAAAACATTGAATTTTATTAGGTGTACACAGAGTTAACAAATAGATTCCCAAACAGTTTAGTGTGAAACATTTTGAAACCCTTTAGATCCAATATTGAACATTTTGCATGGACTCTTCACTGCGTAGTCAACTGTTCCTGGCCTTTCTTGGTAGTAGTCTTCCCTAAGCTCAGAGTTCAAACAGTATTAAATTAAAAAGGAAATTAAGAATGCAAAATAAAACAAAAGGTAATAAACGCAATGGACCAAAATCGTAATGGATGAATATGTTGGTTTGCCTTTATTTTCATCTAGGATAATTCAACAGACTGTATTCTGAGATCATGGCAAGGCACCTCTAACCCAGCCACTGGGCAGCATGGGCCCCAAATGCTGAGTTAGAGGCATGTACTGGTGAACTACACAGTACCGGACTCAGCATGCTGAGCTAAAAAAAATATTTTTTCCTAATATGTCCAGTTTAAAAACTTGTCATTAAACACCAAAAATATTAAAGAAGTCTAATTAATTTATAACTAATGTTTGCATTGCTGCTGCAGGAAAGAACACAACAGCCGTCTTGCCCATGCTCTGCTGAGTATGAGGGGAACGCAGCCAGAAACGGGGATGGCGTTAAGTCTGGTTCATTAAAAACAGGAAGGAGTATATCTGAAATGGATTTAGGTAGCGCAATTCTTGTAGGTTGTAATTATTAAGGTTGTAATTATTAATTTTCCTTTTTTTTTGTTCCAAATAATGAGAATTAATAGATGAAAAATGAACCTTAATCAGGCCTACAAGGCCTACAGAAATCTTTGGACCCACTTTCTCAAAAACCAGTGGGTCTTGCTCGCTGGGCAAGGCAAATGTTACCATTACCAGTAAGCTTGTGATATGTATAAAACACACACACACAAAGAAACTAGAGGGGGATGTCAAACACACATCATAGAGAGCTTCCCTGGATTGTGTTTGAGCCATTTCCCACCCAGGCAACGCCGACCTTGGGAGCACAGTATCTGCTACTGGATAGAGCGTATATGTGTGTTTAATCGATAGTGTGAGCCAGAGACGACAATCTTAATCTTGATAGATGCAATTTGTAATAATAGGTTTAGAAGGCTTCCTGATTCCCTGATTGCTCTCTGATCTAAGCCAACTGCAACATTTAAGATTTAGAGGAACACAATCCCTGCGAAAGGGTCACAGACAGTGGAGCGAGCAGCCCTGTAAAAATGGGAAGAAGAGAAATCCATAGTAGCACAGCTTTACAGCGTCTAACTAGAAATTACTCAATATTATTTGTGTGCTACAAAAATGAACTTAAACACATAGATTTCGCTGAAACAGGACTCAAAAAGGATTATGGGTAGCTGTCAGCAGGCAAGGTATCGAGTGTACTTGTGAAGTATGTCATTCACATGAAGTGTCACAGTCACAGAAAAGATATTAAAAAGGCATTCCATATCTGGTAGGGCATTCCATGGTCTGAGTTTAGCTGGTTATCCAGGTGTCTTCTTGTTGTGGGGGGCGCGACAGGTTGAGATTTATCCACTTGCAACAGAGAAGTTCAGAGACAGCGAAGAGCAAGCATTAGCTTACTTCCAGCCGCTCCTCAGCCACAGAGCGGGAATGTCTGGTGAGGATAAATCACTCAACTGTGCTCAGGACAAATAAGTCACAACACCTGTGAGGATCTGGCTATGTTGTCTTACTCTTGTTGACTGGTTTGCCTCCATTCATTATTGCAGACGCAGTTGTGCTTTTACTTGGCGTCACCCCAGGCTTCGGGACCGTTTCCCCAACATCATGCAAAGATGGTTCTCGGTACATGGCAACTAGTGATGGGAAGAAAGGAGGAGGAAAAGGAAACAGTGCTTGGTTAGGTGTGAGAATGGTCCATCTGTACATGCACAGACCACTGCAGTTTGCCCACTTCTGTTTTCCGCAATTCCATTGAGAAGGAATTCCTGTTGTAAAGCAATCATTTCCAGCCCACAGAAGACAATACTCCTTTCGCATTGTCTGGTCTGTATACCTAAAACAGGTACATGAGTGTATATGGCTTTTTGTCTATGACAGAAAGTTTAAATGGGAGCTATGGCCTCTTTGTGGGCCTATGATGTAAAACACACACACACAGACATGCACGCTCGCGCGCGTGCACACACACACACACACACACACACAAACTGTAGGAGAATGACAAGCACTTAATTTTAAAAAAGGAAAACTCAGACTTCCCTTCGACTATACACTAATATCAACACTTGAACTTCTCATTTACCTCAGTCAGTCTTTGTGAGCTCTGATATTTGCATCCTAGAGCACTAAATTATTTTTTCTCATCTGGTTCAAAAGCAACAGAATCATATAGTGTCAACTTCAAAGCTACACACACACTCTTCCCATAAGCCAGAGGCTTCAGGAGATTTCATTTCAATGTTCATTTCCTACAGTCATGGAAAGAGACCCTTGAGCAGCAGAGGGCGACTCCTTGTTTTTTGCTACATTATTTAAAAATCTAATAATTGACCTGATACAGGGGTAGAAACATAACGGCAAGACAGCAACTGAAATTGCCTGAAGAATTATCTGAATCCTATCTTGTGGCATAATCACAGTGGTTCATGTGGCTTTTTAGAAAATAATTTTTGAAGTCCTGGGAAAGGACATGTAAGAGTGACTGGTGCTTTGGGAAACTAGGGTTTAAAGTCATCTGTCATCAGAAATACAAGTGCATTAGAGCTCCCCAAACTGCTTTTTAGGTTTTTGAAAGTTTAAGGTATTTTATGAAGGGTTCTTAGGTTTAGTTAAGAGGAACTACCATATGCATTCCCTATGTTCAAGGGGGTAGAATGTGGCCTTTGGCATCAATGCATCATCTGAGTTTTCAGCAGCACACATACTTGAAAGAGCAAATGTATATAAGACTTCTATTAAACGACTTGCCAAGGTAGCAAAAGGAACTAATGCATATCCTGGAAGCATATTCCAATCTCTCACTCCTAGTGCTAATTACAATAGGGAGACAAAAGCAGGAAGCATTGACCTTGATTTTTTTTTTTTTTTTTTTTTTTTTTTTTTGAGATGGAGTCTTGCTCTGTTGCCCGGGCTGGAGTGTAGTGCAGTGGCACGATCTCAGCTCACTACAACTTCTGCCTACCAGAGTCAAGCGATTTTTCTGCCTCAGTCTCCTGAGTAGCTGGGATTATAGGCACTCACCACCATGCCCGGCTAATTTTTGTATTTTTAGTAGAGACGGGGTTTCACCATGTTGGCCAGGCTGGTTTCAGACAAACACCTGACCTTGTGATCTGCCTGCCTCAGCCTTCCAAAGTGCTGGGATTACAGGCGTGAGCCACTGCACCTGGCCTGACTTTTTCTATGTAGTGAAGTTTCGCCAGAGAGATGAATGTTCTAGCCTATCAATAATTAACCAGGTACTTAATTTGTCCTAACATTTCCATTAACATAATTTATATCCAGTATGGGTTTTGAAAGTTTGAAATTAATTTTCTTCTATCAAGTAAACAATGTGATAGCCTCTGTCACTATAGTACCTACCCCCTTAACTGTTTTTAGCGTACTTGTACGAATTTTTTGAATACTTAAAAACTATTTTTTCCTTCTCATATATATACCCATACATATATACATACATGTGTATGTATATATGTATGGATATACATACATATGTATGTATATGTGTGTATATGTATGTCTATAAGGAAACAATAGTTATATATACATATATGTGTGTATATATATGTGTGTGTATATATATACACACACATATACAATCATGTACACACAATTAAAAACATGAGGGAAATACCAAGTATCATTCTATGCCACATCATTATTATCTCAGCTATTTGCTATGGGATATACAAAACAACTGGTTCCCAAATTTGACCTCAGTTAAATGACATAAAACCCCATTTGGGTTTTGCTACATTTATGCAGCTAAAAGGTAAGGTTTTAAATATTTAGTCAATTTTTAACTGTTTGTGAATATGAGTGAAAAGAGATAATGTAAGGTGGCAAATACACCATGGTCTTGTTAGAGCTTCTGTGCCCTTAGTTTTTAATTTTTTTATTTGCATTTAAATATTGGTGAGTCCAATGTTACCAAAATTCATTTAAAACAATGAAAGCATATCATGGAGGTGTTATTTGGGAAGAAAAGGTAAATCATCTAACTTCCTTCTACTCTAATCTTCCTTAGATCTACCATGGACTGAGAATATTTCAGACTCTAGAATAATCTGTCATTTCCTGCATAGGCCCTGGTGGCTGTTGGGGTTTTGATAAATTGTTCTACAGACAAACATAATTAAGAGTGACAGTAAGTCAACATCATTGAAATTATAAAAATAGTATTAGCCAGTAAGAGTGGTTTTTCTGAATTTAGGCAAACTGAAAAGTATACACTCACAGATAATAAAGAATTGACTGCTCAAAATTATTTTATTTCAATATAGAGAATATGCATCATGAAATCAATATGCAATTTCTCTTGATGGCTAAGCCTTTCCTATAGGAATGAAAAAAACAAAAAGAAAATTGAGCTGCCTAAGCTGGTTTAAACTATTTACTGATTTACTGTAGGTCTGATCTTCTGCAAAAGAGAAAACAAAAGTATTTGAATAGAAAGTGCATGTGAATAGCCTACAATCAAATATTTTTGTAATTCTCAAATGTTACATAGATTAAATGACTCTTTTGGCAGAATCATTAGTGAGAGAGGTGCAGATGTTGTTGATTAATTATGAAAGCTTTGTGGCCTGCTCTTTGGGCAACTGATTTAAGTAAATGTGAAGTCACTATTCATTATTATATTCATTGTTTATAAATGAATATGGATAAATTATTTCAGTAACAGAAGTATACAGTGAAGAGTTATGCAATTTGAAAGGAGACGTGTAACATCAGCGAGTTCCTTAAGAGTCAAGCTATTATCTCTTAATTTTCTGTAATTATAATAATTCACAAGTATGTAACTACTTTCACCTAGATAATATCAAAATGGAAAATATTTTTGATTCCACATTCAAAACTTACTTTTCTAATATACTTATCTTCTTCTAATATACTTATCATCATAGATTTGTATCATTACAGATTCAAAATTGTTTTAAATTAATTAAATTATCTAATGGTTAGAGTGGTTGTAGCAGTGAGGATTTGAGACATTGGAAGTGGCAGAGAAGTTTTTCCTGGTACACATACATACACAAAATGCGATAAAGTATATAGGGGCATAAATTCTAAATGAATTACTTAAGTAGGCATCTGTGTAACTATCACCCAGATCAAAATAAATGGCATTTCCAGCACTTCTTGAGGGTTTTTTATAGCCATGGTAGATCTATCAATTTGAAAAATAAAATGTGTAATAAGTCTATGTAACAATGACGCACACATAATACTAACCTTCCAATGGCTTGGGTAGAAAATGAGCTGCTGGTTTGGTTTTCTTTACTCTGTTTCCTTTCATAGCTTGCCCTTCCTTATTTAATCCCAAAAACCAGGCTCTACCAGATTCCTGTTGTCTGTACAGCATGGATGAGTAGATTACATAATAATTTTCAAAAACAGATTCTTTAAACTTGCATTCAGGTGTAAAAAGTTCCTGTGGAGAGAAAAGGAAACAAAAGTTAGAGGAAGGAACTTGATCTTCACTATCCATTCAATTCATTCTCTAGAAACTTTTCCAGCATGGCGAAAAAGTCCTTTGGCATGGATGATTGGATATACCACTTCCTGCACACAATAATCGTCTATACATTTTTAAAAATATATACAACAAATTGAGAAGAATCTGCTACCATTGAGAATATATAGAGGCAAAAGTCTATCATAAGAAAACAGAAGACATAAGCAAACTAAAGATTACTCTTAAACAGAAGACAGTTCAACCAGAGTATAATCAGAAAGGAAATATTAAAGTAGCATCAGGCAGTAACAATAAACAAAATATACATTGCAAATATTTTATGATCCATTTTACATGTTTCTGTAGGAACTGAGATATGATACTCTAACAGTTGCCAGTGGCTGTTTGGATCACTGAGATCATAGGGTGATACATTTTACTTAGAAAGGAAAAAACTGAAATCTCAAAGTACAACCATGACAATCAGCTGGCTCGCATGCCAGCCACTAGAGCTATTGTTGCATAAGCAGCTGAGGCCAGGTGTTACAATAGCTGGTCATAGTGACAGGAGCTGAAAGTAATTCAGTGGAACCCCAAATCTGTTTTCAAGGTTTGGAGCCCCACTGGAACTCTTGAAGGTAAACAGAAAAAGCTGCTCCAACTGAAAAACCAACCAGCATTTTTGGAAATTATATAGTGTGTTAAAAACCATTATGTTTAATGTCATGGTCTATATTAATTGATAAGCAGCATAAAGCTTAAAACTTTATAACATTAATGGCAGAAATATTCATAGATGATTTTTGTATACTTCTTACTTTGGGATGAGTAATAATGAATATAATGCCATGCCAAATTAATAAAAAATTGGCAAGGGTGTAACCTACATATGCATTTTTGATAGCCCTTTACTCAATTTTTAAATTCAACCTGTCTGGTTATAGACCATGAAAGACACTTAGCTAGTTTTAAATAGGTTCAGCATTGTGCTATTCTATATGTATATAAAATATAGATGAAAAATAGAGCCTTATTGTCCTTGATCTTTTTAACAATATCACTGTACTAAAAACTAGCTACAAAGTTTTCATTTTAAACAGATTTTATTATTGCAGAAAATAAATAACCTTCGTTTCTCTTCTAAGAAAATACTCCTTAGGGGATTAAAAAAAAAAATAAAAACATTAAAGACTTGACTTCGTGCTAACTTGACTTCATGTGACCTAATTGTATGTAGAAGAAGTTTCCTTTCAATATTTCCCATCAAAGTGTGAATGATCAAATGCTGTCTTATGCCAGAGTCAATTTGTTCAGTGTGCTACATAATTTTAACTAATTCACTGAGAGCTAATAGTTTTCCATGGGGAACAGGCTTTGTTAGTGGCAGATGCTTTTCAAGACAAAGATGACAGTTACAATGATCAATTTGATGAAATCGCAATAGCCAAATAACAGGCTTAGCCCCTCCTGGAGCAACTTATATAGATCTTTATTTCTTCTTGATAATGTTACCTCCTATTAGAATAAGATCCCATCCAAATAAATGCTCTGGCTTTCTACTGAGTTCTGCATCTCCAAATATCTTCCTATTAGTTTTCTCACTAATAAATGAGTCTCACTGAGTCAACGTCCAGACCAAGAGCCAGAAAAAAAAGACTGAGAAAACAGTACATGTCCACACATTCATGTTGATTAAAACAAAATGGAATGCTATGAATCTAGCTTTTCTCCAAGAAACTAACAAATATATTGGTTGAAACTATACTTTCTAAAACAAAAGGATAAGACTCTGGCATTTCACTTGTCGTTTTACTGAGATAGGCCAGGGCATCTAAGCATATTGTTTACTAGTTAAAAACCTGTGTCAAAATCAGCTATGAGTGATGTAGTAAGGGCTGAACTAGTGGGTCACTTAGTGGAAGTCAGAGAAACCTGCCACCACTTTCTGGTCTTCAAGTGTCTCTGTGCCCAGGACCTGGCTCACTGATGCTCATCATTTTGTTACAGACACCAGGGCCTCCAGCTACAGAAATGTAGGTCCACAAGATACTCTAACTCTCATTGTCTTCTGATCATCACTGCTATAATGTTCAAAACACGGTGAATGGTGCTTGCAACACCATCAGCAGCTTAGGGATGTGTTGTTTCCATTCTGAATTCACTATGTTGAATATGAAAGAGAAGAAATGCTTGATGTTAAGGTTGTCACTTATTCTTGGTGGATACCTTAAGGACTTCTGACACTACATCTTTTCATGAAGTGTTTGCATCGTAGGGACTCTAAGGAAGTCAATTCCACAGCACCAGTCTGTGAGTTGTGCCTGTGACTTCACAGAGAAGTGATTCTATTTTCCACAACTGAGAACTATTGCCTTCAGTTGCTTGTGAGAGTGGAGACCGGTACATTTTCAGCCTTCTGATTTCTGGCTAAATAATGTACACACACATGCACATTACATTCAAAGATGTTACTGTCTAATACATTTTCTCAAGATTTTTTGAGAACTTAATTTCTTCCTCCAATATTGAAGTCTCAACCCCAGCATTTCCTGTAGAACTGATAGAACTAATGGAAGTTGAGGGTAGTTGTTATTTGGTGTCATAAGTGATACACTTTCAACATGTAAATGGAAAGTAATGGAGCAGATAAACATCACCTGTGGAGTAGACCTTAGGATTCAACCCTGATCCCACTCCTTACTAGCTGTGTGTTACTGGAAAAATTACTTAATCCCTCTGAGCTTCAGTTTCCTTATCTCTAAAATGAGAACAAAAATCACAGGGCAGTGTAAGGTAGCTGGGATGATTGAGTGAATAAATACATATTACATATTTAGAAGATAACGGCATACAGTCGGCACTCAATAATTATTCTTTAAAAGTTTCCATATTATTTATAGTCATAAATACATCCTGATCAGTTATTTCAATTTTGTGAAAATCTCACCATATCAAAAGCTAGCTACATAATAAATACAGTTTTACACAAAATGTTGGGTACAGCACGAAATACAAGATAAATAAGAGTAGTTCATTTCATTTTAAAATGACAGAACAATGTAATATTTGTTTTGAGTGACTTACCTATAAAATACTGGAGTGATTATAGAGGGAATCAATGGTATTGTGAAAGACAAGAGGTAGGAAATACCCTGGTACATTTGGAGAACTAGGAGTAATTCATTACTGAGATACCAGCTTTGTGGGACCGAAGGAGAGAATGTTCTGGATGGGAGGAACATAGGTTGGAGAAATGTAATGAAGGGTCTTGGACACTCTAATAAACAAATTAGATCTCTTATAAATGAGACAATGACATGCTGAATCCTTGAATATGCAAGGGAATAATAATGTGGCCTGATTTGTATTTTATAAATACAAATCGGATTGTCAGTGTGGAGGATGGTTTTGAAAAGTTAAGAACATGTCTATACTGATGTTTTCAAGCCTCGTCGCTCACAAAATGAACCCAAGAGTTGTTTGTAGAACATGAGTATGTGTGTGTTCACTTTAACAGTTAGCATTAATATTATAGAGAACAAGAACACACAAAATAAGGGGAGACATACTACCAGGATTATGACGCACTGAGTTCTGAACTTTCTGGTAGCCAGGACACAAAGAGAAAGCCTGTGTAACAGTTATTCAGGAAAAACAATATTTTCCTTTTTAAAAATGAAAAGTTTCCTAGCATGGACTTCATTATAAACGACCTAAAAAAGTGACATTAACCAACATAAACAAAAACGCTCTTGAGAGTAATTGTACAGTCACACTTCGTGCAGTATGCTTTAGGAAGACATTGCATTGAAAACGTCCAGTAGGTAGAACTACTTAAAGTCCAATAGGTGGAAATAATGGTAATTGATGAGATCTCTAGGGATGATGTGCACAGCACGGGCCACAAACTCAAATGCCTCTAATGACCAGGTAGGTACAAGAGTGAAGCGAGCTGGCATGATCATGGCAGCGTAATGAGGATAAATGGCCTCTGACACAGGCTCCATGGTGGGGAGATGAAGACGGTGGTAGAAACAACAATTTTTTTTTTTTTTTAAAGCAGCTGTTCCTCACATTGTTCTGTGAAAATAAAAACCTTAGATCTTTAGAAGATCTGATTTTCGAAGGAAGTAAGAAATCTAAGTTCCTACTTAAAATCGCATTTAAACATTGGCAACTATTTCTTAGTTTTTGTTTTTCAACACTGAGTGGGTCCAGGGGCCACGAAGAAGCCTGCGAGCCTTCAGTATGAGACCTCTCATGTAGAGCAGCAAGAAAAGAACCAAAGAAAGGGGAGCCCTACTTTGCTTATCAGAGCAGTCCTAGTCTAATTGATAGTTTCTATACAATTGGCTAATATGATGATTGTGCCAGTGAAACACTCTAAAACTGGCAGTGATAATATGAAAATGCTTATTTAAATGTAGGCTTAAATATAAACTCTCTGAATCTGCCAAAAGGAGATCGATGAGGAGTTTGACGTATCTTTTTCTCATCTTGCCTCCTGCCTATGTTTAGAATCATCACCATCACAACAACAAAATCAACAACAGATGAGTTCCAGCAGAAGCTTGAATATTAATTTGCACCACTGCCGAACTAAATCATCAAGTCATAGGAGAGAAAAATGCAATAATTAAACAGAAATGTTATATCTTTTTTATGTTGTGGTTGTTTTTGAAATGAAAGCACCATCTGTGGTGTACTTATTATCTTAACAGTAGCAGCAGAATTCCTCTTCTGAGGGAAATGCCTTTGTTTAGGAAAATACCCTGATAGGCCATTTGCATGTACAAAGAGAGAGTTCCGCTTTCAGGATGAAAGGAGCTCTCCTTCCATAACTCATGAAGAATGAATAACTCAGATAATTTGGCAAAACCCTAACCTCAGAATTGAAAGTGACCTAGAGAATCTAACCCAGTGGTCTGGCAAACTGGCTCTCAGGAGAACCACAGCTTCCACTTGTTTTTGTAAAT